AATGAAGGGGGGCCATCATTACAAATCCTACAGACGTTAAAAGAATAACAGGGGAGTATGCAAACAGCTGTATACCTGTAAATTTGACGGCTTAGATGAAATGGATGAGTTTCTAAAAAGATAGAAACTACTGAAGCTCATGGAAGAAGAAATAGATAATCCAATATTTATTAAAGAAATTTAGTATGTAGGGGCACCTGGGTGGCTCAGTGGGTTAAGCCTCTGCCTTCGGCTCAGGTCATGATCTCAGGGTCCTGGAATCGAGCCCCACATCTGGCTCCCTGCTCAGCAGGGAGCCTGCTTCCCCCTCTCTCTCTGCCTGCCTCTCTGCCTACTTGTGATCTCCCTGTCAAATAAATAAATAAAATCTTTAAAAAAAAAGAAATTTAGTATGTAGTTAAAATCCTACCAAAAAAAAAAAAAAACTACAGAGTCAGATGGCATCATTGGTAAATTCAAACAAACATTTAAAGAAGCCATAACAAGATTCCCACACAATCTCTCTCTGAAAGCAGAAGTGGATAGATTGTTTCCCAACAATTGTATGAGGCCAAAACAAAAAATAAGCAATGACATTATAACAAAAGAAAGTTATAGACCAGTAACTCTCAGGGACATATATAAATAAAGTCTCAAGAAAATATTAGCAAATCAAACCCAATAATAGAGGAAAAAAGTTATATGCTATACCAAGCAAGGGTTATCCTCAGACTATAAGGCTGATTTGAAAATCAGTGTAATTTGCTTTATCAATAGTCTGAAGAAAAAAAAAACTATTAACATCTTAATAGATGCTGAGAATTATTTGTCAGAATTCAACATTTATTCTGAAACAGTGCCCTCACAAAATTAGGAATAAAAGGGAACTTCCCTAGCATGATAAAGAACATTTACAAAAAACTTGATCCATTATATTTAGTGTTGAAAGACTGACTGCTGTTCCCTGAATATATGAAACAGTACAAAGATTTCTTTTCTTACCATTGCTTTTCATTATCATACTGTAAGTCGTATTAAACAATGAAATGCTGTAAAGCAAGAAGTAGAAATAATACGATGACAGATGGTATCTGCACTTGTGGTGAACATAGCATAACATATAGAGAAATTGAATCACTGTGTTGTATACCTGAAACTAATATAACATTGTGTGTCAACTATGTTCAAATAAAAAAAAGCTCATCAGAAAATACCTCCCCCCCCAAAAAAAAAGAAATGAAAGGCATACAGATTGGAGAGGAAGAAATAAAACTGTCTGCATAGGTGACTTGATTTTCTACATAGAAAATCGAAAACCTGCAAAATAACAACTAGAACAAAGAATTGAATTTAGTAGGGTCATAGGATACAAGGCAAAAATACAAGAATAAATTGTATTTCTATATGATAGCAGTGAACAACTAGAAATGAAAATTAGACAGAAACAGTATTATTCGAAATAGCATCAAATAACATGAAGTACTTAGGTATAGTTCTAACAAAATATGTGCAGGATCTGTATGTGGAAAACTATAAAACCCTTATGCAGAAATCAAACATCCAAACAAATGGGAAGATATTTTGTGATCATAAGTTGGAAGGCTCAGTATTGTTAAGATAACTGTTTTCTCCAGGTTTATTCATAGATTGAACATGTTCCCTAGCAAAATCTCTGCAGTATTTTCTTATTCAAAAGTTTATTTAGAAAGGGAAAGGACCTAGAATAGCAAAAATAATCTGAGAAAGTGTACAGAGTTGGAGGATTCATAGTACTTAATTTCCAAATGTAATGTAAAGCCACAGTGATAAAAATAGTGTGGTATATATGGAGTGATAGATACATATAGATCAATGGAACATAATAGGGATCCCAAGAATAAACCTATACAATTTGACTTTTGACCAAGTTGCAAAGGCAATTTCAACAGAAGAATAAATCTTTTCACCAAATGGTACTAAAACAGTTAGTTGATCATCCGTGTGTAAAATAAAACAGAAGACAAGCCCCAAACCAAGCTTCACACCTTGTACAGAAATTAACTTAGAATGGATCATAGACCTAAATGTATAAACTAAAATGATAAAATAAATAAGGTTTTGGAACAGAGGCTAGCAAACATGTTCTATAAAGGGCCCAATAGTAAATATTTTCGTTTTTATGGGCCAGCTATGGTTTCTGTCATATAATCTTTCTTTTTCTCTTCTTAATAACCTTTAATAATATAGAAACCATTCTTGGCTCACAGGCAGCTCAAAAACATGCCTGTAGTCCACATTTAGCCTGTGGGTAGTACTTTAATTATCCCTTGTTTTCGATGAAAGCATAGAAGAATCTTTGTGATAATAGGTTGGGCAGAGTTGTTATATAAAACTCCATAGCAAAAATACATTTAAAAATTGATAAATTGGACTTCATTAACATGAAACTTACTTCCATATTATTTATCTGGCAAAAAGGACTTATAGTCAGAATACGTAAAGACTTCTCAAAATTTGGGGCACCTGGGTGGCTTAGTTATTTAAGTGTCTACCTTGGGCTCAGGTCATGATCTCAGGGTCCTGGGATAAAGCCCCTGCATCAGGTTCCCTGCTCAGTGGAGAGCCTGCTTCTCCCTCTCTCTTTCCCTCTCCCAATCTCTCACTCTCTCTCTCAAATAAATAAATAAAATCTTCAAAAAAAAAAAAGAATTCTCAAAAGTCGATAAGAAGGAAACAACCAGATTTAAATTTGGAAATACAGGGAAAAGATCTGAACAGATACTTTACCAGAGAAGATACCTGAATAGCTAGTAAGTCCATGTAAAGATTCCCAATATAATCAGTCATCTAGGAAATGTAAGTCAAAACTATGAGATGGCATGTCTTATCCTGTCAGAATAGGCTTCGAAAAAGAAGGAAAATGAGCAATACCAAGTGCTGCCAAAGATGCAGAGTGACCAGAACTCTCAGATATTACTCGTTAGTATTCAAATGGTAGAGCCACTTCGAAAAAGAGTTTGGGAGAAAATGTTTGCAAATGGCATATTTGATAAAAGGTTAGTATCCAAAATATATAAATAATTTACACAACTCAACACCCAAAAAAATAAATGATCCAATTAAGAATTCGGCTGAAGACACAAATAGACACATTTTTCCAAAGAAGACATGTACATGGCCAACAAGCACATGAAAAAGTCCTCAACATCACTCATCATCAGGGAAGTACAGATCAAGACTACAATGACCTATATATCACCTTTACACCTGTTGGAATGGCAAAAATCAATAATACAGGAAACAACACGTATTAGTAAGGATGTGGAGAAAGGGAACAACAGAGGTATTGATGGGAATGCAAACTGGTGTAACCACTGTGGAAAACAGTATGGAGGTCCCTCAAAAGGTTAATAATAGAACTACCCTATGATCCAGCAATTGCAATACTAGGTATTTACCCAAAGAATACAAAAATAACTAATTCCAAGTGATACATGCACCCTGATGTTTATAGAAGCATTATCTACAATAGCCAAATTATGGAAACAGCCCAAGTGTCCATTGACTGATGAATAGATAAAGAAGGGGGGGTATATATGTGATGGAATATTACTCAATGATCAAAAAGAATGAAATCTTGCCATTTGCAATGGCATAGACGGAGTTAGAGAGTATTATGCTAAGCAAAATATGTCTGTCAGGGAAATACAACTACCACTCATATGTGGAATTTAAGAAATAAAGCGAAGGAACATAGTGGGGATTAAAAAGAGAGGCAAATCAAGAAACAAATTCTTAGCTATAGAGAACAAACTGCTGGTTACCGGAGGGCAGGTGGATGAGGGGATGGGTGAAATAGGGGATTAGGTTTAAGGAGTGCTCAACCAAATGTTGTATGGAAGTGTTGAATCGCTGTATTCTCACCTGAAACTGATATTACACTGTATGTTAACCAACTGGAATTTAAATAAAGACTTTAAAACAAAAGAGAAACAGTTTGGCAATTTCTTAGAAACATACCCTTACCACATGACCCTAGTTACTTATCCAAGAAAAGGATGAAACTTCACACAAAAACCTGTAGATCGATGTTCATAGCAGCTTTGTTCATAATCACCAAGAATTGGAAATAGTCCGTTTGTCCTTCAGCTGGTGAATAGATGAACAAATTATGACATGTTTGTATAATGGAAAACTGTTCATCAATAAAAAGTAACAAACTACTGATATGTGTTACAGCAACTTGGATGAATCTGAATGCATTATGTTAGGGGAAAGGAGACATACTCAAAAGGCTATGTACTGTATAATTGTATTTATATGCCATTCTGGAAAAGGAAGAACTGTAGGATAAAACAGATCAAGCAGTTGACAAGGAATTAGGGTCTGGAAAGGGGTTGACTACAACCAGGTGCAAGAAGCCTTTTGGTTTGATTGAACTATATATGTATCTTACATATCTTGATTTGGTGGTGATTATATGACTATATGCATTTGTCAAAACTCACCAAAGTACATTAGAAAAAGAATTTTTTTATATGTAAACATTTTTTAAATAAGAGATAAAAGATAGAGGGACAGTGAAGTTTCTATGATCAAAAAGGCATTTTACTGATGGTAGGAGAGGCTTTAGCATGTTTATAGGACATGGGCCCAAGTTAGTAAATAGGAAGATGTTAAAGGTTATCTACTTTTTTTTTTTGAAAATATATTTTAAACTGAGAGATACTATCCAAGATGATTTGCAGGTATATGAAATGTGTGGTTTGTAATCTTATATACTATTTTGTGAGTTTGATTTAAGTACTGAAGTTGAGTGCTCAGCATAGACTTTATAGAAAGTCTATAACTTTCTATAACTTTTAATGCATTTCCTGAATCTGTTCTGGGTACTTATGCATAACTTCTCTTGCTCAGTGATGAGATAGTTTTTCAAGATCCCTGCTTAATTTTATGTGCCTTTTCACATAAGTATTGTGGTTCCTAATGACTAGTGACTCAGCTATTTTTTTTAATATCTAAACTATATTTATTTCTTAAAGGTGATGTTGGGCCAAATGGACAACCTGGGCCAATGGGACCTCCTGGGCTTCCAGGAATAGGTGTTCAGGGACCACCAGGGCCACCAGGGATTCCTGGACCAGTAGGCCAACCTGGTAAGATTGGAGTGAATAAATGTGCATTTTTGTAGCATTCATTATATAGAAGTTGGCTAGTTCATTAGTACACTACAACCTATGTAACAGTTTTCCAGAAAACAGATTTGAGAGGTAATATGTCTCCTTGTATAATTTTGAAAGCTGAAAAAATACAGATCATGGTATAAGAGCTAATTTAATAAAAAAAGAACTGACTTAATCTCAGATAGTTTCTCTCCCTGTTCATTTAAAATTGATCTATTAACAAATAATGCAATTTCACAATTGCAGTATGTTGCCTCAGCATATGATCATTGAGCTAGTCACAGTCTTGGAATCACAAAGCTAAGAACTTCCAGTGCTGATTATTTCAGACCTGAGTAGCTGTACAGAATTAATAGACATCATTCTGAAACTTCTTAACATTTCTTGGCACATGAGAACTAGACTTAAAAACATTATGTCAAAAGTATATTTTAGGCATTCTCATTTCTTTTTTTTTTTACTAAAACAAGTAAGTTGAATTTTCTCCTCTTTCACCCTTAAGTCAACAGTCACTTTGCAATTCATAAACACTCTAAACTTTTTTATACAGACACAAAACAAAAACAAGCAAACAAACAAGCAAAAGATATGCAAAACAAGTTTAGTCAGCTTGTGACCTAATAGAGAATCATATGATTTTTCTACATTTGTCTGGGAACTTCATTGAGTTTTGTGGATTCTGAGCCATCTGGTGATGCTCACTAAGGGCCACTCTTGGGCCAGTGTGTTATTGCAAAGCAATGTAATAATTCATAAAGTTAAAACAAATATGGAAAACTTAATCATTCCTTAATTTACCTGGATATGTCAGATGACTTAAACACACAGTTCAGATGTACATACATTGATTTTGAAACAGTAGAAATATATTTTCTGACCTTAAATAGCAATAAATATTTTGTTAGTTATTATGCTAAAAATCTAGAAACATCAGTTAACAATGTAAAAAGCCTGGAAAGTAAACGTTATTTTTGCTTATGTTGTTCTTTAAAATTTTGTATTATGACCCATTGTTCTTTTTTTCTTTAAGGCCCCTAACATGTCACTACTGATTTAAAAATGAGAAAACTTATGTGTTGCTTTGAACCAGGTTGTTAAAAAGTAGCTGCATCAACACTCATGAAAAAACCATTCTGTTCAACTGGCATAGCAAAGGGATCTTGAGAAAAAACAATTTTTAGGTTTGGTCATTATAGTCCTGGCCTGCTGTTCCACAAAGAGGGCTAAAATGAATTTATCATTCCTGTTATGTTTTGTCATTTCTTTTATTTCCCAAAATTGCATGAGGTTTTGGAAGCATTTTGAATTCTTAAATTACAGCTAAGAAGGAATGAAAAGAAACTACTGTTAACACCAATCTGAACAAAATAAGGATACATTTATTTGTACTTTATGCTTTTTCAAATTTAGCTAATCCTCTAAATATTTCATTCATCTGACATTCTCTGTCTTTTTAACTGATTGATATATAGGTATATAAATTTATAAAGTCTAGATAGGATGGACAGGGGGAAAGTAATGGTGTTGAATTTAATCTTATTTCTTTCTTCTGTAAATATATATTTTGCCATAAAATTCACTATCTTAACTAATATGGCATGGAATTGGCATGAAAATGTATTGAATACATGTTTATTAATATAGATAGATATGTTATCAAATCACAATTTTTTTACTACAGGATAGATCACATTTTATATTTAATACTAGCCACATATACTCACTTTGTATATAAATTTATTTATATCACCAAAGCAGAATATTATCTTAGCCTATTTCAAAAACATTGTGATTTCTGTTCATACATCTCAATGAAAGGGTGATCAGCAAGACTGTTACTAATACCTTGATACACCTGACTTGCACTGCATGGCTAAAATTCTAACTACCAATTTTTTTTTAATACGCTTGTTCAGTATACTTGTTGTGTTTCATTTTGCAATAGAAAACTTAATGCAAAGTATCCTGTATTGTCATCTCTCCATATAAAATGTTTGCATTATGCTTTTCAAGCTTTTTTTGCTCCAGTTTTCTGCTGTAACTTAATCAAGCTTTACTATTTGTCATTCTCTTTTCCAAGGCAGGATACACAGTTTAATGCATGTTTATAAATTAAGGAACTGTTGAATATCAAGTCCTCATTTGACAGCAGGGAAATAAAAGAAAGAATGCCAAAGGATAAGAAGCAAAATGCTTTTCATTCCATGCTCTACTAATCCAGGCAGAAATGGAAATTGTTGATTCTTGCTATTTGATCTGGCTATTAGCTAGAAGATTGCTGCTTTAGTGAATCTCTAAGAGGTCAGTTAAATATACTCAATTCCATGTCCACAGATCCTACCTTAACCTGAGCCAAATGTATTGTAATGCTTGCCCAGTCTCAGGAAAAAGTGCAATCAGTTCAACCTCATCCCCACTAATGTGAAACAAAGAAACAAGGAATTAGTCATGTCATTTCATAGAGGGAGTTTCCTAACCCATTTCATCTATGAAGTTTTCTAACTTTTTTCAGCTATCAAGCCCTTGGGGTGGGGGGTGGGGGTAGGGGAGTGTGCGTGCACACGCACTCATGTGCACACGCAAGCAAAGTTCTCACAGATTTGTTTTTGGAATTTTCCCCTTTTTTCACAAACTGGTCCCATTTGGCTGCCAATAAATGTAGAGCATCTATACACCCCTAATGTACTTACTTTCTCTATATATAGCCATATAATTCCTGTTATTATATAAGGAGATTCAGCAGAGATTTTGAATTTATGTTAACTGTCTTCATTCTTGATCTTAACAGGATGCCTACTTCTGACAGTATTCATGGAAAAGATCTATGCTGTGAGAAGTACAGCAAAATAGCTGTTACTACTACAAATAACAATGAAAAAAATCTTTGCTAGTAATGCAGTTTGTTTAATCATACTCATCTGCTAATAATTATTGAGTTTTCTGTACCAAAGCTGTTATAGTATAAAATCAAATTTAGCTTTAAATTCTAACTTATCTTTAGGAGCTTAAGTTCCAAAAGGATTATTCAAAGCAATATAAGAATCAGGGACAAGAGTGTAAAGCTGATCTTTATCAAAAAGCATTACTTTTTGTGAATGTCAATATTTTACTGTGTCTCTTTATATATATATATATGTATATATATATGTATATATATATACATATATATATTTCATTTATAGATTGCTATATGAGCATCTGAATGAATGCCTAAAATAAGTTCTTTACTCATTATTACTAATACATGGTAGTTGTGAATCAGTATCTAATAACTTCTATTTGTAGACTTTTTCGTTCTCATCTTTACATGCTTAGTTTTTTTCTTAACCTAATCAATCTTTTTGCAACTTGCTTCTGCTTGGGTGGTTCATCTTGCTGCTGAACTGTAACTCCTGCCTCTTGAACTTCAGGTCTACCAGGTACTGTAGTTCTTTCTCAGAAGCTGCATCTTAAAGTGAAGCTTTTTAAACATGAGAAACAAACAAGATTTGTCCAGGCTTAAGTCTTTGGTTTTTTTCCATTACTTTGTGGAGCATATTTCAAAGGACAAATGAGTTATCTTGAAAACTCAGCTCTCAAAAAGTAGTTGGGCTATAACAGTAGGCAGTGATTCAGATAGAGTTCTAATAGTGTTCATTATTAGGTATCTCATCATATGTCACAAATATAGTAATGTAAAATATCTCTCCCCTTTCTATAGTATTTTCAATGAAATGACAGAATTGGAACCATTATGACATGCAAACTGAATGGAATTCTCTAACCTTCAAAGTCAATTTTATTGGTTTAAGGGCATGCTGGTATATGACATCAAACAGATCTTAAAATCCCAGCATTTTGCTCTATTATAAAAATAATCACCTCTGAATCTTCAGCAATAAAATTAGGTCTTATTGTTAAAGGGACACTTTAGAATGGTCACCTGGCTCAGCCTCCAGCTTCCAGTCAGTTGTATCCCCATTTAACAGTTGTAGGTCAACAATATTGTAGGTCAACAATAGTGAATCACCTACCTATGTGACTCACTAAGTCACATACCTAATAGGAATTGGAGTGGAAACTTGTCTTACGTTGGTAGAGTAATTCTTTTCCCTGAATATATAATCAATTTTAATCATCTTGTCTCTTGGAGTAGTTCAGTCTTGCAAAACTTACTAAGGTTAAATATTTTTGCAGTGTCATATTTTTTCTGTGAAATCCTGGTTGAAGTACTGAGAAACAAAATTTAACAACAAAAACTGATGGTGTAATGTATTATCAAGATAACATGTAAAATGAAACAAAAATAAAGTTGAAAATGTCCATGTAATGGGCTTATTCAGTAATGGATCATTTTTATGGATTATGGAAATATATCCCAATAATCCATAGTACCTTAGAGTGTGCAAATCCAAATGCAGTCAATGGACCAATGTCAAATCACAAAATGCTTGTTACCAGTCTGCATTGGAATTAAAAGAAATTGAGAGTAAGCATTTAGAAACTTATATGGTAATTTGACAGTGTAATTGTATTTGTATCTAACCAAAAGATAGTCATGTATGATTTTAACTTTTTATTTTAGTATTTTTTAGTAATTTTTATTGTGTTTTATGAAAATATTTGTCCATGGTGGACCAGGAATTAAGAAAATGTTTGTTTTTCACTGGAAATAATTTGAGAAGCACTTTCATAGAGAAATATGCTTGAAAATCCTAAAGTTTGATTGTTAGGTCATTTTATATGTGTGACACCAAAAGTATCTCTGAATCATTGTTAGGTTTGTTATACATAGGAGTCTTATCACTTGTTTGCTAGAAAAATAATCAGATACAGCTCTTAAAACTGCTTCAAAACTTGTTAATATTGGTGTTGTATTAACTAGGCCTGCATGGAATACCAGGAGAGAAGGGAGACCCAGGGCCTCCTGGATTTGATGTTCCAGGACCCCCTGGAGAGAGAGGCAGTCCAGGAATTCCTGGAGCACCTGGTCCTATGGGACCCCCAGGAACACCAGGGCTTCCAGGAAAAGCAGGTGCCTCTGGATTTCCAGGTACTTCATTTAAAGTTTTCTCTGGTTTTGGATTCAGGAAGTTAAAACATATTTAATATGATTCTGATATATTATTCTCTTGTACTTTTCTGGATTGACACTGTCCCTTAAGGAAAAGTGTTAAATGTCTTTGCAGGAAACTCAGTTTGCTATTTTCATTACATTTTTTTGCTGAGATTTCTGGTCACATATTGCTGTATAAAAAATGATCCCACAATTTAATGATTTAATTCAATCTTTTTATTTTGTTCAAGATTTTGTGGGTCAGGAGTTAAGTCGTGATTTGGTAGGGTCATTTATCTCTGATCTACATGGCACCAACTGGAGTGGTTGGGATGAAGGATCTACTTCCAGGATGGAACTTATCTGACAACTGCATGTTCCTTGGCCTCTTCAAATGGTCTCTCATTATCCATAATGTTCCTTCACATGGCTTGGGATCCTTACATTCTGGTAAATTCAGGGTAGTTGCTCCCCTTCTAGAGGCAGCTGGCTTCCCAAAAGAGAGAATCCCCAAACCCAAAAGCAAGTGTTCTAAGAGTCCCAGGTGAAGACTGCAAGGCTTCCTATGATCTAGCCTTGGGAGTCATACAGTGTCATTTAGTCAAGGGCAAGGCACAGAGTCAGCCCAAATTCAAGGACAGAAGGCTACACAAGGTTGTGTATACTGGGAAGTGTGGTGCATTGTGAGGCAATCTTTGGAGATTAGCTACCACAGTGAGTCTTTTTATTTTTATTTTTTGAGAGAGAGAGTGTGAGCCCAGGATTGGGGAGGGGCAGAAGAGGAGGGAACAAGAGAGAATCTTAAGCAAGCTCCATGCCCAGTGCACAGCCCACTGTGGGCTCAATCTCAGGATCCTGAGATGACCTAAGCCAAAATCAACAATCCGGTGCTTAACTGACTGAGCCACCCAGGTGCTGGAGTCTTTTTATTCATTCATATCAGCAGTAGTAGTTGCTAAAGTTACAGCAGTTGAAAACGGGTAAAACTTAATGCCCAGTAACACTCAGTAGTCTTCCAGTTGACATATTAAAAGTTATCTTTTATTTTTCCAAGGTCAAGGAAAGGTAAAAGTTAATTATTTGATATTCTTCAAAGGTACCAAAGGTGAAATGGGTATGATGGGACCTCCAGGCCCACCAGGACCTCTGGGAATTCCTGGCAGGAGTGGTGTTCCTGGTCTCAAAGGTAATATTTAGAATTGGCTGGTAGATGCATGTGAGAGAGAAAATTAAACGTTGTTTTGTGTCAATATAGAATATTTTTGAGTGCTTTAAAATGAGCAATGCTAACTTTTATTTTGTTTCTTTGTGACATGATATTTTATAAAAGCTTTTATTTAAATTCTAGTTAGTTAACATAGAGTGTAATATCGGTTTCAGGAGTAGAATTCAGTGATTCATCACTTATGTGACATGGCTTTTAAGTACATTGTATTTTCGATTTGGTGGCATGCACAGTTTGGATACCATGAAACGTTGCAAATGCTTAGCTCAAAATAACAAAATATAGGGATTGAATTTTGATTTTTTTACAGTTTCTATTATTGTCAAAGAACCCCAGAAAATAGAGGGAGTGTTATTTGAGTGGGAAAATGTGATGTGAGTTCAAGTTACTCAGACAATACCCATAGTGCATAAGTGTTTTGGATGGTCAGTGGCTTACTAAATTACAGAATATATGAATAATCTTTATAGATTATATATATATATATATATATATAATATTATAATAATCTTTATAGGCATAAATCCTGGAAGGACTAATCTAATCTGTTGTGTCCTCTCCGCACATGTTGGTTTTAGGTGATGATGGTTTGCAGGGTCAGCCAGGACCTCCTGGCCCTGTAGGAGAAAAAGGTGGTAAAGGAGAGCCTGGCCTTCCAGGCCCTCCTGGACCAGTGGATCCAGATCTATTGGGCTCAAAAGGAGAGAAGGGGGACCCTGGCTTACCGGGTGAGTAATACATTCATTTGTGAATGTTTTTACTGGTATATCTCAAGTTTCATTTTAAATAGCACGAAAAGTGATTTATAGTGTAGAAGTCACCAACAAAAGGCACATCAAATTTTTGGTAATGAAAATTTTCACCTGATTTCTATTGTTTCGGTGATCAACTTTTATTTAAGCGTTTTCTTTGTAGTTTAATTTGTCACAAATTATGAACTCTTAAAATAGACTTAAGGCAGTCACCTTCAGGCTTTCCAGAAAGCAATATGTCGTTGAGAGGAAAGCATATCTAGCCAGAATCACTTGAAAAATTGATTTCAGTGTTTGGGAAATCTGCTGGTCCCTTAATTTTTTTTTCCCTTGAGACCAGATGGGGATGAATAGTACATTGTTGCCCTGCAGTGTTTTGATATACATATCATACTTGGCTTTTAAATCCAGTTCATTGTTATTTTGCCGTGGCAGAATAAACCAGTATTGGACTAAGAACAGCTGGGCCAACTCAGCCATGGGGGAGGTTGCTGAAAGTAGGTTTAGGGAGCAACTGTGTTACTGTAGTTATTTTATTAGAAACAAATAAGATATGGAGTATTACGCTGACTTTTTAAATTTAAAAAATTCTTTTTTCTTTTTATAAAAGTATAACATAACAAGGCATCAAAAATGTAGGTAAGCACAAATTAATAAATAAAGTGCTTACAATCCAGTCTATATAGAATAGCCTTTCAGACAACATAGAACTTTAAAATTAGCCATGTTTATTTGCAGCTTACAGTAAAGTTTGTGGCTCTTTTTGTCAGCTCATGTGTGCATGTGAGTATCTGTGGGTGTATGTGTGTACACAGATACTATGTTTACCTATGAGCAGAATTTGGTGGGATTTTTCCTCAAAAGAGAGTTTAAGACATTACTGTGGTTTTGTATGTCATCACAAAAGAGGTAGGGCCACCTAATTTATTATTATTGTTAAAATGAGATATCTTTCTCGAATTATTCCTTACAAGTGTTCTCTTTCAATTATGCCTTCTGTAAAATAGAGGCAGTAATCTATATTATAATAAGATTATTAAAGATAGTTGTAGAATCTAAAAGATAGCCTAAAGATAATCTGCCCCAGTTCCTTCATTTTACAGTGTAAAAAACTGAGGCCCAAAGAGGAATATGACTTAGTTACTGAGTGATTTGAGTTTCTTAATCGTAGCTAAATAAGAAGTGGAGGAGTTTAATGTGTCCAGTGCTATTGGCTCCTACTCTGTCAGAATATCATGGGTTCCTGTATTTCATTCATAGTTCAGAATTTGGGTTGCTTGCTTTCCCAAATTATTTTTAGTGGATTAATGATATCAACCTAACTTGTGTTCCTTATATTCATCATTGGAAGGTATTCCTGGAGTTCCAGGGCCAAAAGGTTACCAGGGTTTGCCTGGAGACCCAGGGCAACCTGGACTGAGTGGACAACCTGGATTGCCAGGACCATCAGGTAAGGATGACAGACCACCTGTAGCAATTGAATGGCTGATCCTAAATCCTAGGAAAGTAATTATGTATTTATCATGTGTGATGATGTTTTGGATCGGATCATGACAATATGCTTGAGTAGCTACTGAGATGTGGAGCTCTTTTTTAGCAAAAATGTTGCCATTTGGCCCATGTGTCAACTGACAAGGTTTGTAGGATATTTTGCTTTGCTCAGTTTCTTCTTTTTGTGGTCAGTGATGATGTATACTGAATGAGAAGTACATCCAAATAAGGTGGTGTATTTTATTTACATACACAGCAACATGTATCAGTGAGGCAATTATCTGGCAGGTGCTGAAATATTTACCTTTTTTTAGTTACTGCCTTCAGACAAGTCAGTCATTAAACCATGTAAAGATGGCTGCTGATTTTATTTTTTAAAGTTTCTAGGGACAAAAATTTCACAACATACCTTTGTAGTCTTTTTCAGCATTAATCACCCTTAGAGTCAACATGGATTTTTTTCTTATTTCTAGTAAAACTCTTGCTGCTTCTTGAGCCATTTTCTTTTAGTTGGGCCCCAAAGGAATAAAGAGCAGCTGGTCTCCATCCTCATAGGAGTCCTTCATATCAGTTATTCTGCTCTAGACTCTGTACTACATCGCCTTGATATATAACTTCCTTTCTATCCTTCACATCTTCTGCATTCTCTTCCCCAAGTTGGAAGTCAGTATGAAAGAAAAAATAAAAGAAAAAATGTTTAAGGCAACATTGTGGTCCTTAGAAAATCCCTATGTGATACCACAGCTCAGGCACCTGAGCTCAAGGAAGAATGTATGTACACAGCAGCCATGACTGTTGGGAGTTAGCACCTCTCCATCAACCTTTATCTATCCCTGGCCTAATGTACTGGGAGTATATCATAACAGGATACCACTTTCCATTTACCACTTTCACATAATCAGACGTATGTGGGAAAGCCACTTCTCAATCTTTTAAAAGCTGACTCATGATACTGGATTTATCTGTGGTAAATATAGTAAGGGTAGTAGGCACATAATACAAATAGGACTTCAGGTGATTGGAATTGTTTTAGGGCAAGAAACAAGGTGTCCTGGTAAAATTTTCACATTTTAAAAACTGATTTGTATTAGGAGACTGATATTACTATGTTTATATTGTAATATGTCCCTAGGAGATTTCTTAGGTACCTCTTGCCTGTTTTATGCTGAGTTAGATCTGTGGAACTTAATCATTTATTAAGGTTTCATCCATCTAATCCCAGGCTTACATTATAATTACAACCCACTCCAAGAAACCAGGCAACCTCAATATTGCTGACTTGTCTTAATTTAATCAATTTAACTTTTCTAGGTCCCAAAGGTAACCCTGGTCTTCCTGGGAATCCAGGACTTACAGGACCTCCTGGACTTAAAGGAAGCATAGGTGATATGGGGTTTCCAGGTGAGTGATGAAAGTCTCCCAAATATTTAATTCCATTAGTGGCAGATGGTTCATTCTCTTTGTTATTAAAATAGAGACTGGTGTTGATAGAATCAAACTGAGACAGTAATAGACGTAATCAGTGGATAGAGTTTTCTCATCACACAAATATTTGAAATGTGATTTAAGGGACAGAGTTTTAGAAACCTTAAGAGTAAGGATCCACAAATATGTATATTTTCTCTCACTGTACCCCTTTCTCTTAAACTTCCTTGAAAAATAGGCTTTTAAATAATCCTGGTTGTAAAAGATTATTATATAATTCAGAATTTGCAGAGTTCTTTTTAAAAAAACTTTTCCCTTAGTCATAAGTGTCATAGATATGCCATGAATAAAGCATATTTTGTAAAAAAGATGCTTATTACATATTTTCAACAGGCCCTCAGGGTGTGAAAGGGTCTCCTGGACCTCCTGGAGTTCCTGGACAACCTGGCTCCCCAGGATTACCTGGACAGAAGGGAGAAAAAGGTGATCCTGGTGTTTCAGGCATTGGTCTTCCTGGTCTTCCCGGCCCAAAGGTAATTCTACTCTAGGCATATACCTGAGCAGATATGATTTTTTAAAAAATACTGTGCTCATTCCTAATTCTTCATTAACAAACTACACAGTTGACATGGTATATTCTGAAAATTCATTCCTCCTGCTTTCTCTTACATTGTAAGAAGCTATGTTTTAGAGTTTGTAGCCAATCCAAAAAGGTGTGTGGGGGAAGATTTCTTTGTTTTCCCTCTATCTTAATCTCTGAGTGTAATTTGGTAAACCAAAGGTGTATTCCTGACTAGCTTTGGTTTTCTTTTCCCATCTTAGTGGGGAAATGTTGATCTATATCCTAATATTATTATTAGCTAATATGAAGAAACTTATAGACAAAGTAACTCATGCAATTAATGAAATGCAGTAGTATTCCTAATGGCATATGAGAGGTGCACTTACAACAGTTTTACATGTCCCTCCATGCACCTAGTCAGCGTGAACACTTTGGTAGTGTTTCTCAATCAAATTTAGAACATATCTTAGAATCATTAGACTCAATGAATATTTGATAGCTCCTTAATTCAATGTAAAAAGGTAATAATTCCTACTGATTTGTGGAAGTACTCTTTAGCGAAGATTCATCCATTGTCTATTATATATATCGCAAATATTTTCTCCTGGTTAATCATTTGTCTCACAATACTGTTTAATCATTCAGGCAGACCACAAAGCTAGGAAATATTACAAAAAGAATGGTGTTACTAACCTTCCATGGAATTAATGAAAATTCCTACTGAGATAAGAATGTACTGAATAATGTGTTTTTTTTTCCTTTTAACCTGTCCTTTTAACTTTTTAATTTTTAAAAAAAAAATTTTAATGTTAATTCCAGTATAATTAACACACAATGTTATATTAGTTTCAGGTGTACAATTTAGTGATTCAGTACTTCCATATACCACCTGCTGCTGCTCATCACAGCAAGTGCCCTCCTTGATCCCCATCACCTATATAACCCATCCCTCCACCCACCTTTCCTCTGGTAACCATCAGGTTGTTCTCTATAGTTAAGAGTCTCTTTCTTGCTTTGTCTCTCTTTTTTGTTGTTGCTCAATGATTTAACTCATGAAATTTGAATGTTTTAAAGATAATTTCTTTTTAATAGTATACAAAAAATTTTAGTTTGATTGCATAGTCAATCAACTTATAGTAAGAGATAATCAAGAGAAATTTCTGCATATTAACTGCAAATTAACAGTGTAAAGTCTATTGAAATGATACTGAATATTTTCTCTTCTATTTAAATTTTACCAATACAGACATATCAAGGGTAAAAGTGAAAATCCCTTTAATAACCTATCTTCTTTATTCCATTCCCTTACCTGCAGAGATCCACTGATAATAGTGTGTAGATTTGAATCCCTTGCCATACATACTTTTATGTATATATACAAAATTTTGGGTTTTCTACATGTATTATATATGTATAGAGTCATAGAATACACACTATTCTGTATTTGCTTTATCACTTATATTTTTTGATCTTTCTTTTTTACTATGTCTTAGACAATTTTCTTTGTCACTGTACTTTTTTTATTATGTTCAGTTAGCCAGCCTATAGTACATTGTTAGTTTTTGATGTAGTGTTCAACAGTTCATTAGTTGGGTATAACACCCAGTGCTCATCACAACACTGTACATTATTTTTAATAGTTGCATGATATTCTGTTGTAATTAATATCCTAATGAATATTCTTAGACATATTTGTGGACACATGTGTAATTATTTATTCTGTATTGATTCCTAAAAGTGAAATATCCAGATTAAAAGGTAAGTTCATTTAGGTTTTTGTCTTTTAAAGTTTTTATATTAATAGGAACCAACAAACTTGGTTTTAAAAATCAACCAGTATGAAACAATAAAAAATAATAAGTAAAAAATATTTTACTTCTCAGTAAAATGAGAAGTCTTCTCTCCACACATTTACATACCTTAAATTCATAGTTCTTCTCTAACCACTTTTAGTAGTTGTCCACAGAAGATATTTTATGTGTATATAAACATGAATATATTTTAGATATTTCATCAGTTTTAAGACTCAGGTATTTTTATATGCAAAATCTCTGATATTGAGGTGCATCTTAGAATGGAAAGCATCTTACAACTATGGAAGCAATTTTCCTCAGTTACTAATTCACAAAATGATGCTGCATCTACCAAATGTAGGTATCTTATATTTTTATTTATACATAAAAATCATACTACATATCTGGTCTGGACCCAGCTATCATAACTTAGGAAGTCTTAGCAAACATTCTTTATCAGCACATTAATTAATGCCTCATTTGTTTTCATAATTATATAATATTTTGTATATGGATTGACCATAAATAGTTTAACCTATTATGAACACTGAGTTGTTTCTGTATTTGCATGATTACAAACATATGTTGCTCTGAAGATTCTTACCCATATCTTACATACATATGTAAGATACGTATCTTACATACATATCTTAAGATTATTAATATTAATATTGCCATAGAATAAATTCTAAGTAGAGTTGCTGGAACCTCTCATATATATATACCTTTTTAATATTGATAATTACTAATTTTTCTCTTAAATATCTCTGCTGCTTCATAATATCTTGATCAGTATTAGAAATTTTCTATTTTGTCCTCATTTTACAAATATTGGATATTATTTACCATTCAAATTTTGTCAGTCTAATGGGTAAAAAGTAGAGTATCATTGTTTAAATGTAATTTTCCTAATCATGAATGAGATTTCTTATGCTTATATCTCCTCTACAAATTGTCTGTTTATACTCTTGCCTCATTTTTTAAAAAAAAAATTTATTTATTTTTTTTTATAAACATATAATGTATTTTTATCCCCAGGGGTACAGGTCTGTGAATCGCCAGGTTTACACACTTCACAGCACTCACCATAGCACATACCCTCCCCAATGTCCATAACCCCACCCCCCTCTCCCTCCCCCCTCCCCCCAGCAACCCTCAGTTTGTTTTGTGAGATTAAGAGTCACTTATGGTTTGTCTCCCTCCTGATCCCATCTTGTTTCATTTATTTTTCTCTTACGGCCCAAACCCCCCATGTTGCATCTCCACTTCCTCATATCAGGGAGATCATGTGATAGTTGTCTTTCTCCGATTGACTTATTTCACTAAGCATGATACCCTCTAGTTCCATCCACGTCGTCGCAAATGGCAAGATTTCATTTCTTTTGATGGCTGCATAGTATTCCATTGTGTATATATACCACATCTTCTTTATCCATTCGTCTGTTGATGGACATCTAGGTTCTTTCCATAGTTTGGCTATTGTAGACATTGCTACTATAAGCATTCGGGTGCACGTGCCCCTTCGGATCACTACGTTTGTATCTTTAGGATAAATACCCGGTAGTCTCTTGCCTCATTTTTAGGAGGGGATTTGGTTGTGTATTTCCAATTTTTTTAAAGAGAGTTGAATAATTTGCCTAAGTTTACTCAGTTAAAACTTAGTAGGATCAGACCTTACATTTTGATCATTTAAAAAATTTTTTTAAATTTTTTATTTTTTCCTTTCTCAATTTTATTTTATTTTTTTAGTGTTCCAAGATTCATTGTTTATGGACCACACCCAGTGTATTTCCTATCGATTTATAGAAGTACTTCATAAAGATGTATCTATTGTCTATTATATCTGTTGTTTTCTCCCAGTCAGTCATTTGTTTGTCTTATAACCCTATTTACTGTGCACTTACCATGTAGCATACAAAATTTTTACATGGGGAATTTTTACATTTTTACACATTCATTCGTTCAAAATGTACCTAATAAGTGTGTGAGGTGAGGTGCCAGGTACTATTCTAGGTGCTAGAGATAGAAAAGGAATGAAACAAACTTATTGCCTGTGCAGAGCTTGCATCTAGTCAATAAAATAAATATGTTTATAGTGTGTTAGAAGGTATGGCAAAAGTTAAGTGAGGCTTGGGGATAGGAATTGCTGAGAATTGTTAAATTTTGAAATAGAGTAGTAAGAGAAAGCTGCTCTGAACACAGTTGATCTAGTGACATGCAGTGAGGAAATGAGTCATTCAAGCACCCTGAGGTGGGAGAGCATACCTGACATGTCTGAAGAACATAAAGGTGGCTAGTGTGGATTAAGCAGAATTAGGTGAAACAAAGTAAGAGATGAGATCAGGTTAGTAATGGGAGATAGATCATCTAGAACCTTATAGATCATAGAAAGGGATTTTACTCCTGAGTGAAATGGGGAGTGACTGGAAGGAGTAACATGATTATACTTGAATTTGGGAATATATCATAGCCCCTATTTTGGAACTAGATCATAGAGAAATAAGGATGAAAACAGTGAGACTGCTTATGACACTATTTAAATAATACAGACCAGAGATCTTGATAGTGTGGAATAGGGTGGTAGCAGTGGAAATGATAGGAAACATTCAGAATCTGAATATTATTTTCCAGGTCAAGGCAGAAAGATTTACTTTATGGAATATTAGAGGAGAGATATCATGGACTCCGAGAGGAAAGATAAGGATGACTCTAAGTTTTTATCCTGAACAAGTATGAGAATGGAGTTGCTACATACTGAGATAGGAGAGATTTGGGGAAGCAGAGTTGGTGGGAAAGATCAGGAGCATAATTTTCTGACTGTTATACAAACTTCTGTTTTTTAAATAATATTATAAAAATAGACCTATGTCTTTTCTTCCAGTACTTGTATGTTTTGTTCTTTATATTCACATCTTTAATCCACGAGCTTCTTTCTCTATGTTGTGTGAGGTAAGGAAGTAACTTCATGTTTTCAAAATAAATATCCAGATAACCCAATCCCATCTGTTATAGACTCCATTCTTTACTCATGGATTTGAAATTCCATTTAAATTTTTTTCTAAATTTTTCATAAATATTTTTTTCTGGGCTGAGCAAATGTTAACATTTATATAATGGAACTAAATTCCATAACTCATATCTGAATTTATAATGAATGTCAGCAGAAAAAAAATGTTTC